TTAATTCAGGTGGTAGGCACGACTTGGGAGTTATGGATGTTTCACATAATCAGTGTTATTCTGTTTGCTGGTAGGAAATATGGAGACTAAAAATTTACTTGACCTGTTAGTAAAAAGTTGCTGTGGTAAATAGTAGAGGTTTAAGTACCATGTCTAAAGGATACAGTAGATTTTCTCGCTTTTCATAGTTTTGAGAAATGACCAAGTTCTAATTTTACGAATCCTTGAATGGATTTTTGCTCGATCGTTTTGTCTATGATTTACGATTGGCAGGTGATGCTTTACCGGTTTAGAAATGTTGGACTTCCAATAGTCGGATCTCATGTTCGATGGTCATTTTATTTGGTATAGTTTTGCAAACCGGCTGGCAGCACCCACTAATCAGATCGAAATTTTCAATTAACGTTTGAGATATAATCTTAATTATCAAACTAAGAAGTAAAGACTTTGCCACATATACTTGGATACACAACCAGTCATGAAGATTTTGATTTGTTGCTTTTATCCACTTTATGTTGAAATATGCGTCATCAACCGAAAAGGATGGGTTGCAATGTTAAGTGCAAGCCGGTTAGAGTATTAAGTTAATGAGATGAACGGGTGCTTACTATTTGATGTATAATCTGACAAAAAATGCCAGTCATCTACAACGTAGGACTTCGTACGTAAGTGCGTCAGTTCAAGTTTCCATACCACATTAGCACAGAAATGCCCTTATCAATACAAAACCCACAGTGGTAGATGTAGTAGGAGTATTAGCGGTAATGGAGAAGATTGATGTCCGAATATATTAGTCAAGATGTATAATCTAGTGAAGTAAATTTGAAGAAAAAGTCCTAAGCTCATGAGAGAAGACAAATAATAGATGCATCTGCGCCATTGTAAACGATTTGGAGCTATGTCATTCAAAGTCTCTAACCATCGGTTACGACTATCTTTCGGACCTAAGCCAGTTAGTGTGCACTTATAAACATGATTCATCCCAGTTCTCAATGACTCCATAGATTTGTATCATCTTTTGGTCTGACCACCATTAGCTTTCTCCACCCTACTCTTACGTCTCACGACATTGTTCATCGAGGAAGTCAGTGGTTGGGACATGTGTTAGGCATGCCCAACCATCTCAACTGATGAAGATTTACTACTTCATCAATTGATTGGCCCTCCTTACCTAGTACCCTACTCCCGACCCAGGGATTGCTTACTCGGTGGTCCCAGGAGCAAATGCTTGGAAGACACCGATGGTCGGACACCAGTAGACTACGAATATCCTCGCTTCTTAGAGGCCGTTTCACACCCACGAAATAGGACGGGACGAACTGCTGCTCGGTAAAGTCGTCCTTCGGTTAGCAGTAACAAAAAGTCGGATGGCCCCAGCATGTTAGAAGAACAAGCGGCAAAACTCTTCTTGATATCAGTCCATGCTTGGAGTTGGTTAGGAAAGATATGAATTTGAGTATTTTATTATGTGACTTTTTTGATGAGCCATAGAATAAGATCGGATGTTAACTATACTAATTCTGATAAAGTACTGCACTATGGCAGTCAGCAACTCAAATGACACTTTCCTTTTATTTTAAAAAAGGAAACAGGAGATAGATCGAATCCTGCTACCAGTAGCTGTTTGTGAGGCTGTATGACATTGTGTTAGCATTTTTAGGTATCCTTTTTAAAATTGTGATAGTATAATCAAGTACGTAGACCGATAATAGTAACGCTGATAGCAAGGCATGTTCTTATCTGGGGATACAGTAGGAATTCGTTAGCCCTTCCAATTTTCGAATATGGGCAATTGACAGTCATCAAGGAGATACATATTTTATTCGTCTAGGAGTACAAACCATCGAAACTCGGTTAGGTAAGAATAATGAAGTTGAACAGTAATGGTTTAGAAAGTTCGTTTATTATCACATGCTTTTGGTTCGCTGTGAATTATAACGATTCAGATCTACAAGTATCCATGTACAGTCACAATAGCATTTCAGAAAATATCTGGTTTGGAATTTGTTTTTTTTCTAACTCACTCAATGGGACCACAAACTAATCGGAATATTTTCTTTCATAATGCTGTTTTGAACTTTTGATCAGTTGTTAATTCATGATTTTGGGGGTGTAGATGTAAAAATTTGAGAATCACTTATATCATGAACTGATATCAGTTGGGAAACTGGAGGACATTATAAAACTATATTACTTTCATTTCAGCAATGTGTATATACACGAAGTCACCAGAGATCGAATTGAAGACTTTTGGATCTCAAAGCAAGTACATCACTGACTGAGTCGGAAGTACACAAATGATTATTCTTTCAACATACATACTACATAACTGCTAAACTAGTTCCTGGTAGGATTTTAACATTTTATCCTTCATTCTTATCTTTACTATTTCAACTGTATGGTGTAAATAACGTGAAATCCTTATTCTCTGAATTGCGCTCCAAGGCTGTGATGTTATTAATCAGCTGTTAATCACAAAAAGTCATCAATACATATATTATTGTAAGACAATTTGTGGTTAAGTTTGCTTGATTTGCCTTGTGCGTCATTTCAGAGAATGAGGAATTATGCACGTTTGTCAGCTTTCATGAAAGAAATTATTATTCCACTTATATGTAATCAGATTGTTTTTTTACTAATCGAAAATTTGAAGATTTCAATTGTTATATTCCTCAGTAAAAAAAAGAAAATAATGATTGTGAAATTTTTTTTCTTTGCTACAATGTCCAGATGGATTTTTAAGGTTGTCAAATGGAAACAGATTAAGCGCAACAGTAACGAATTTTGTCAGTTTGGATGTAAACTACACTAAATAATCCTCTCCCTCTTTGTGACTGCTTTCATGGTCAATAGTTTGTTCGCTAGAAATATTATTTGTAACCATGAATCGATCGATGTTAGACCACCATTAGAAACTTGGAAGCACTGGACGGCCGTTTCGTCCTGGTATGGGACTCAGCAGTGCGCATCCACGACTCCTGCACCCCGCAGGATTCGAACCCAGGACCTTCGGTATTGTGCGCGAACGCCCTAACATTGATCGATTCATGGTTACAAATAAAACTTAACAATCTTCACAACAACCCCGCAGAAAAATATTAATTTTTAATCATTAAAAACAAGTGATGTGTGATTGTGAAAGATCAACAATAACAGAATATTTATTATAGTCTTATATATATCTTTTTAACAGTCTCCTCGATCGATGGATACACTGATAGAGTGAGTATTACAACTGCATCTTTGCATAGGATAAAAAAAGAATTTGTTATAAAGATTAAAAAAAAAGATTTATGTATTTGCACACAGTATAAGCGTCAGTCACGCATAATTCATTCATTTCATTTATACAGCAACACCATCGCCTGCAACCTCTGATGGACTAATGATACCTGTTCTAGTAGAACGAGCTTGTGAAGAAGAAGTAGTAGTGCCAGTATTACTAGCTGATTTCAGTAGTAATCTTCTGTGTTGATTATATCCTTCTAGTTCATTAAGCAATTGATTTAACTCTTGACTAATTTGATTCTCTAGCTGAGATAAATTCATTCTTTTGTTCAAAAGAAAAAAACAATGAAAATGAAGAAATTCAAATAGGTAATGGTAGATGGAGAATGAAAATGAGAAATGCAATTTTAGTAGGGATAAGATAACTGTTGTAACCATATTAGTTAAGTTGGGTTTAGTAACCGATGAGATCTTCATTTTGGATGTTATAAAATAATAAGAAAGATATTTGATTAGTGTATATTTATGTAAGTAAAATTGATGATATACATTGTTTTGAATAAAGTAGTTTATCCGAGTGGGATGGCGGCTAGTGAGCCATACTGCGACCATAAGAAGAATCAATGATTTTCCGTCTGTCAGTTGAATACAGGAACCTGGTACGCGTGTACATCGGTTCAGGTTATCACACCCCATTAACACACCGAGATGAAAATGTTGGGGTGGAGGTAGTGACAGTATAATTGATGATAATAGCGACTAGGCATCGAATATACGATTCAACAAAATATGAATTTGCGAAGTAAAAAAAACTGAGGGATTGAAAAGTTACGAATCAGCGGGAAGACAGAGGATGGATGCACTTGTGAAATTGTAGACGATTCTGAATTATGTTGCCGAAAATTTCTAATCACTAGTTACACTTATCATGTAGGCTCCCAAAAAACTAATATGCACCTATTACCTTGGCTCAGTCCAGTTGTCAATGATTTCATGGAAATTGTGCCATGCTTTGGTTTGGCCGCCCCTAAATTCCTTCCAGCCTGCTCCTACATCACAAAACCAAAGATCGATGGGGCAGTCGGTGGTTAGGCACACGTAACACGTCGCAACCACCTCAACTGAGGAGAATTCATTATTTTGTCAGTCGACTTGCCATCCTTACCTAGAACACTTCTAATCCCCAGCGTTGATTGACTCGGTAGTCTGAAATCTACGAGTGATGCTTGATCGAACACCTAGTAACCTACGAATATCTTCTATTCTTAGTGGTCATGTTTCACATCCACAAAGTAGGCAAACTCGTCCTTTAGTTAGCGGACGGATATCTCTCCTATGCCGTAAGTGACGTGAGCTGGCGACAGCCAGTACAGCCTTCTGTATCCGTGTCGAGACTTCGTCAGACACGAGACCATCAGGACTGGCTAGATTCCCAAGGTAAGCAGAGTATTCAACGCGCTCAACTACTTCATTCTCTATGATTAGTTCGAGTGTTGACGCAAGCCAATCCTGAAGTTACATTTTTCTTCTCGAGGGTAGAGTCGCATCTGAAGCACGACCACTAAGGACAGAAGATATTATTCGTAGGTTACTAGTATTCGGTCATAGTTATCATAGAAGCATTGTTCGTATACCCTGGGACAATCGAGTAAGGAATGCCTGGGTTAGGAATAGGATATTACGTAAAAATGGCAATTCGATTGGTGAAGTAATGAATCTTCGTCACGTGGGCGATGTTGTGTGATGTAGGGGTAGGTTGGAAGCTAGAGGCGGCCAAACCAAAACATGGCACAATCCCATGAAGTCGTTGACAGCTGGACTGAGCCATGTTTATAGGTGCAAACTACCTGGTTGAGGTCTGCCAAACAATCGTAACTAGTGGTTAGACCTTGAATGACATGGCTCAGAATCGTTTGCAATCTTGCAGATGCATACATTCTTTGTCTTCTCTAAAATTTTAATCTTCAGAATTCCTCTCCTTTTTTCTCTTTTTAAATTTGTTTCGCTGGATCATACTTCTTGAATAATATCTTTGGACCCTAATCTTCTCCATTACTGCTAATACTTCTACTATCCCAGCTACTATGGGATTTGGCTTGATAATTTCATTTCCGTGTGGTCTGGCGACTTAAGCTGACGTACGTACGTACGTATCAAATTCCATGATGTAGCTGATTGACTTACTCTCATTATCATCGATACTACTAATACTCTGGGCCTTTTGCTACATTTTAATCTAGTTAATCTGATATGGCCACTAATTTCATCAGCTGATGGACATTTTCTCAGTTGGTCGTATGTTGATTACGATTGAGTATTACTACAGATCATCTATAGAATGTTTAACCGTTCAATCTGTTGGTTTACTCCTATAGTGCAAAAACGAATATGATTTTCAACTTGAAGCTCTCTAAAGATAAAAGTAAAAATCTCCATCAATTTATCGCGAAATATGTATGATATTTGAGTAGAACTGCATTTTTTTGTTGTTGATTCAGTTAATTATAATCAGGATTTATTGATATATTGCTATTGCAAACAATGGGATCAAATAATGCCTTTTTTGATCAACACTACCAAACTAGGCAATTGATTTTAGGCTCATTTTCTCAATCTACCTATTTTTGTGAACAATATTGATGATTAATTGCGTTGGCGAGCACAAAGTTGATAAATTAACATTGAAAACGTCACAGAATAATAATGATAAATAATATTCATACTGAATCATCACATACTTTGTTTTAGCTAAATGACTATCTACTTGATCGATAGCAATTTTGTGCCGTTCACATTCTGATAATAATTCACGTTGTCTGGCACGATTTGTATCTAATAATTGTGACCATGGTGTAGCAGCTAGTTGAGCTAATTCTGCCACAGGACCAACAGCGGATCCACTTAATAAATCTAATGTAGAATAACCATCTTTACCATTATTATTGCCATTATTGTTATTATTATTGCCTAAACGAGCTGATTGTTCTAAATGATTGATTTCTGACAAGAAAACGAGATAAAAAAAGAATACATATATCTTGTCTGTCGATTAGTTAATTTGTAGTAATTATATAAGTGTTAGATTATGTAAACATTTTTATGATCATTATTTTCATCATCAGTTAGTTAACTACTGATAAGTTGTAATTCATTGTCAGATTATTTCGATTCTTGGCTTTACTAAGAGATTGACGATATCACAGTTGAAACGATAATTGTCACGGAAACCAAACAACACTAGATACATGTTTCGTTCTAGTCCGTGGCTTGTCAACGGTACGAACCTAAGACAATATACACGCACCATTACAGGACCTTACGGTAACTAGGAGTCAGTCACGAATGAGGCCACTGGCACTCACTGTTGCAAGTTAGTCCCACGCTACATCCAAATCGGCTACTCAGTATTTCTATTGATACAACGGTTAAGGCGCTCGACCTTCGGCCACAAAGTTGGAGATCTAGATTCTTCTTCGCCTACTGTGGTATGGGTAACCAGGTAGTATCCCTAGCTCCCGTAACTAGATTGTTTACTCGAAGTCAAGCGTACTAATCTGTACCTGGTAAATGTGTTCAATAAACCTGGCTTATAAACTATACCCCAAGTGATCATAACAATAGGTTAAGTAGCGATTTGGTGACGGAACCGCCTGATTTTTAAAAATTTGGTTGCACATCCAACCTATCCACCTATTTTGATTTAAAAAAGCGAACACGTGGCTCAAAGACGCATGAATTGATCCATACTTGATTTATGAACTATAATAAATGGTTAATTTGTGTTGGACAGGAATATAATTGAGTCTATAAAATGCTAATGACGAAAAGATAGTCATTAATGTTTGTTATGAGAGTGGGTTGTGGAAGCTATTGAATATTTCCGTTTAAATTCGTGAAATGACTTTAGTTAGACGACAGTTGAAAGGCAGTAGGTATGGAACAGTTACTTCATCCTAGTATAAGACTCATCGTCAGTGTGGATCCATGGCCTCACCAATGATGTAAAGTCCATGAACGTCAGACCTCGTGGCGAGGGCTTGACTTTTTGATTATTCAGTGGTCTACATTTCTAACTTGAATTATTTTGCTGCTCCAGTCGATTGTCTCAGTGATACTTGTCTTACGCTCGACATGGTTGTACCCTAACAATCGCGACTTCGCACGAGTTATATGGACATTCTTAGTTTGGTACCTCTGCCCAAACTCGAAAAATCTCCTTTTACTGTGAATGGCTTTGAACAAGATCCATTTCAGCAGTTTGTATTTGCATGAAAATTGAGACGCAATTTTTTCTAATACCTAAACTACTTGTTCACGAGTCATCTAGTTTAAAATTGTTAGAAGTTTTACTATTAATGTGACGGCTTCGTAACAGTTGGAATTCTTGTCTTTCATATAGTATACAATTGCCATTTTGTTCTTTACTGTTGCCAATGCATTTATTTGCTAAGTTGTGCGCTTATAAGATTTTGTTGGTTCATATCACATACACTACATATATGTATACATTATTTACAAATTTTTAAGTTTAATAAACGTATCCTATGAAGTAGTACTTCTTATTAGTGACTTTGTTTATTCATTGCTAACTTGTTTAGTACGAGTAGACAGAAAAAAAACCCAATATTCATTTGGTTATGTTTTGTTAAACATAAGCAAGCAACAACTTGTCACAACAATTTATTTTAAAGGGGATTTATCTGTGTTGAATCCGGATTTATTAATTAGGCTGTCATGGAGTGTAGGACGATGATGATGATGATGATGATGATAACCTTGAGAGTCAGTCTTCAAGGCTGTCTTAGCGACGATAACTACTACTTAAGAGATGTTAATGATGACTAACGGATAAACTACTGGCTATTACATACTTACAACCTTATAGCCTATAATGTTAGACTGAAAATAACCAAATTACGTAGGCGGCTTCACTTTGATTTGTAGTCTAAGTAATTCATTTCTGATGTGTCTCTCTCTAAATGCATGAACGAGAGAGACAGATATATAAGGGGTATACACCATGTTCTGTTGGTTGATTAACAAAGAATTATTGTGAATAGCAGCAATAGTGAATTTAATTAGTTGCCTAGCTACAAATGACAGACGTTATTAGGCTGACGTATATTGTAAGTATAAATATGGATGAATTCTATGTGGTGTTGTGTATTTATTATGTTACGAGGTAATAGGAGAGAAATATTATCTTTAGAACTTGCTATCTAGTGTCACTGGAAAAACTATGTCCCACGTATTACTTATTTACTCAGCATTTATTTGCAAATATTGTTCTATGTACACTGTTCAGAAAGCGGCGTTTTGGTCGGAACAATAACATGAGTATGAGCATATGTTTGTGATAAGTATATATGAAATAGAGGTTGGTCGATTGTAATGAATCTTCTGGCTTTAGTCAGAAGCCGTTATCGATAGAGTTTAACGAAGCTAGGCGTGAAACAATTGCTTACCACTGGCATTAACAGAGAGTTGCGTGAACTGATGGGAGCTGGAAGTATAGACAATTGGATGCCAGTTCAGCGGTTCCAAGTTTGAGTGTTCACTGCAAGGTCCATAGGTTCCGGTTTTGATCTGTGATAAAGTTATGAGTGTACACTGACGAAGAGTCCCGGTATTAAGACAAAAACACTGTTGAGTTTCTTAGTGATTGTCTAAGCTCAGTTCGTCATGTAAATTGAAAAATATGGAGAAGTTCTAGGTCGTAAAAAGGAAGGGTTTGGACGTGATCAGTATGACCTCATGTACTGTTACGAGTATGAGGTCACTTCCCCGCTGGTTGCCCACACCGTGGAGAGCTGTTTCTTGAGGAACTCGGGTTAGCGCTGCTCTTAGCGACCTGTATTGACGGCAGATCCAAGGAATAACTACATGAGGCCAGTCGCGTATGCCTTTTTTATAGGAAGTCTTTGAAATGTTAGCTACTCCCTTTAAAAGGCCTTACTGTCGGAGACGAAAATCCATGGGGGAAGGTGAGGTGTGACCTTTTTAGGGTCGACCTTTCCTAACCCCTTTCTGACGTTGCGAGAAGGCAGCATCGCTGTAGACGCTGGTGGTCCGAAGGAAACACCTTACTGCTGTTATACCACTCTACAGTTAGAGCAGTACGATTTCGCCCTCAGACCTCCAGTTATTGCGTTTAGTCCCACCGTTCACCGACAGACCTGTCTGGCACGGCAGGACCTAAATGAACATATGTCCCAGCCAGTTCGATTATCACGATAGGTAAGCCTAGCTACCGCGTCAAGGTAGCAGCTAGGATCTAAAAGTTGAAAAAAAGAGTACTCTACAGACATAAACTAGGATTTCGATCGTCTTAACAGTAAGAAACCGCTTTTGGATTATGGGAACAATTACGGATTATCGAAAACAATCGACTGTAAGAGATATCGTAAGGCATTGTATTTAAGGTTTCATAAACAATCAATCGGTAATTTACAGTTTTAAAAAGAGTAACTAGTATTAAACTACCAATAATTCTGTGGAAATGTATTCGGAATAACTACAGTAAAGGGATGAGCGAACAGTGAGATCGTAAGATGGGTTTGTGACTTTGAAACTACTTTTTAGGTGATGAACAGAGAGTATGTATAAATCAACAGCTTTTTGTAACAGTAGTCATAAAACTTATTAGGGTATAATGGTTTTTTCTAGAAAGTCTATTTACAGTTTTCATATTATTGAAATATCGCCGCCATAATCTGATTTATCCGAGTATGATGAATATATTCAAGTCAAAGGCTTGATTATAAATAGTTTTATAGGACATTTGTAATCGCTTACAGGAATTTTTATAAATTCACTGATGAGTGAATTGAAAACCTGGAAGCGCTGATCAACCATTCTGTCTCAATACGTAACACTTCAGCAGTGCACATCCAGGAGCTTGTTTTTGGGATTCCAAACCCAGTGCTTTCTGTCTGGCACATGTATGCTTAACCTCTAAACCACCACCATTGAGCCAGCAGCCAGGTGTTTACATGTCTAACCTTCACCACTGTCATTTTTATGATGATATGAAAGAATTTACCGCCCGTCCTTCCGTAATAAGTTTAAATGTCTCGAGCACTATGCATACGTGTTTCTACAGCGCCTTTTGATTTATCAACGTGTATGTGTGCTCAATCAGCGTGATTAGTTAAGGAGCGCAGACAAATGATTATGCGTATTTCGCGATATACTGCTCCGAACTTGTTAATTCTTATGGTATATACGTGGTATCACTCAGGTCATTAGAGTCATCAGCTTAACGAATGAGATTGATCGACCTCAAAAACCAAGCTTAACATTAGTAATTCAGAAATATCTAACATCACAATATACAACAGATCCATTTTCGGATTTCGTGCAAAATCAATTTCCTCGACTATGAATAGCTTGTCATCATATTAATTATAGTTACATCGTTTATTTTATCTCCAAGGTTTCAAATATACGCATTGAATATATACAACCATCGAAGTTGATCTCCTTAAGCCATTATAGAAAAATAGCATTACAAAAAAAATTGCACAGTCAATTTAATCAAAAAGACTTACCCTTATCTAACCGAAGCAAACGTATTCGATTGAGTTCAACTTGTTGTTCTTGATATGCCAATTGATCTTTAAGTTGATTATATTGATCTACATCTGAAAGAGAAATAGAAAACATGCTCATCACTGTTGATTAGTGAACAGTAAATATAGTTGATTACGAATTGTCAATAACTGTAAACTTAGAAATTAAAAAAAACGTGTTACAGCCAGAATTCATGGAATTCTAGACAGAAGTCGTGACCAGTGCGGACTAATCATATCGAGTATGAGGTAGTTATTCATTAATGGCATTGGGAGATACTTGTGTAATATCGTGAACTGATTGAATTTAGGGATGTAATCTGTTAGATGGCGGCTTAGTGGTTTGAAAGTTCAGCGCTTGTAGTTAGAGAATTGAGGGTTTTCAGACAGTCAAGTCAGATGCAACGTAGAACTTCGTACGTAAGTACATCAGTTCATATCGCCATACCACATCAGCACAGAGATGTAATTGTCAATTCAAATCCAATAGTAGAAGAGGTAGTAAAGGTATTAGAAGTAATCGGAGAGGTTAGGATTAGAAGATATTATTCAAGAAGTATGATTCAGTGGGAAAAGTTTACAAAGTTGAAGAATCCAGAAGATTAGGATTTGAGAGAACACAAAGAATAAATGCACTGGCGCCATTGCGAATGATTTTGAGCCATGTCATTCAAGGTCTCTAACCATCGATTAAGTTTAGTTCACAATGAAATCGAGGATACGAGCTATTGATGATTTCCATAAGTGGATGAAACAGTTGTCCCATTGTTCGAGGTCAATAATAGTTATCCAAGTTCAGTCCTTAATATAAACTGTGAAAGTTAACGATCTCAGGAAACACTTTTATACTAGTAATAAAGTATGCAAATGTAACTTATTCACCAAGTACAGGTTTATGTACTTGAGTAACAAATTTACTGCATAGGAGCTAATAATAACTTACACCTATAAGAGGTTGATGTATATATATCGGGGGAGGCCGACTTCTTTTAGTTGTCCATTTTTTTCAACTCAGATATTACACCGCCTATTACGCGTAGTTCGCTCTAATCAGTTAAGTGATGTCTATACTAACTGCTTTTTATTTATGAAATGATTTGAAGCACATTTAATTGATCACTATGCCTTATAATTGATAGATAACTCGAAAAAAAAATCAAGAGACGAATAGGAGATTGTTTCTTTTCAATGAATAAACAAATATCGATTTTTTCAAACTATAGATGTTCAATGCAAAAAGTTGCTTAACTACAATCTAAAGCTGGTCTGTTCACATAAATTTGAAAGCCAGAAACAAGAGACTGAAGAATATGATAAACATTATTCATTTTGTTAATATATCGTTAATGCACACTTGGTTCAATGTATTGATTTGTTTGACTTTGAAATGCTGTTTTAAACATCTAAGATTTAGTTAGTTTGGACTTTGGTTATCGGAGGAATCCAGGACACGTGTTTGGACTCGTTAGCAAATTGTAGGAGTCCTTTTAATTCATTCATCATAAACTAATATAGGTAAACTAACTCATTCACCAAGTACTTATGTATGGTTCACAGTAAGAGTGACGGCTATTGATACTAACTACCTGTCTAGGCCGAAGTAGGTGCAGCGGGGTTTCAACTTGGGGCTTATTTGCTGAAATTCAAATGCCTTAATCACTGAAACAGTTTCACTACATTACTCTACAACTCTTTCTTTACTTCCAAAACAAAAATGAAAACACATGTACAAAGTGGTTTATATATCCACAAAACTGAACGTGAAAATCTAAATTAATTAATCTCTTTTCTAAGTTTTTGTAGAGCGATGAGAAGACAGAGCAGGTCTGAAAAATTTGATGTATATACATACTCTATACATTTGGAACAATTTGGTTACATATGTACATGTTAAGGCACTTTAAAAGCTGATGAAGGTCAAACAAAAAGTAAATGATAATTGGAAATAAAGGAATGGAAAAACTTATAAAACAAAGAATAGGGAATTTTTACACCATTTTAGGACGCCAAATGGCTCAAATATTTACTAGGGCAAATTTAAAGTTATGAAAACATTTTTCTGTACACAAAATGAAAAGGGTTGGATTTGTGATTGCGCTATCTAAATTTAAATTAAATTATATTTTGTCAAACAAGGAAACAAGTCAGTAGAGAACAGTCAACGAACAGTAATTTCTTTTCGTGTGAATCTGTTCACTTTTTCCACATTTTGCATGTTCAACATTTCGATGAATGCCAATGTAATTCCTTAACATATTATTCTAATAAAGTCACATCAGTAAAGGTGCACTACACACACACACACACACTTGGCTCATGCACAAATACCTGATGATTGGGATAATAAGTAAAATGTGAAAAAATCAGACAAATCGTGACCTCTACGACACGTTTTGGCAGTCTACTTCGTAACGCATCAAGAAACGGATATCTTCAGATTTGACTTGAAGAGAAGAGAATATGAGTTCGACTACAAGAAGAAAAATTCTTTTATTTTTATTTCTTAAGACAATAACTTGGAACTTTTTTATGTCAGATGATCGCTACATTCACTAGTGGAATAAATTTGGCACTGTGGGTAGATTTTGCTAATAATTTCGAACTACTTATTAGTAGTGTAACGTTTATGACAAAAACGCATGGCTATTATCTACACGTTCACAATGTGTGATTTTTTGGCGACATACGTGTAGAACAATATTTTTGGTTTATAAAACCTGAAGAAATGGAGGAAATGGCGTAAATATATTCTGTGAGCCTTTTTAGCGAAATCTTATTTAATGGAAATAAGCGATCCCGCCTTTTTAATATAGCATAAGAAAAATACCAAGCTTCAATATTGAACATGGATGTAGATGCACAGAGCAAAGTTGCTGGTCATATCGATTGACTACAACTTAGATTAGTATGAGTGTCGAAAATTGAACCACAGAAATATTCTGAGAAAATAAGCAAACAGCTATTCATGTTCAAGGCATAAGCTCCTTGGCAAATCAGGTTGGTTGCACAATCCTGGTGTTTTAGTATCTATTTGTGTACTAATATCAAAGTAGTTTTAGTGAGATAAGTGAAATAAAGGGATTAATGAACCAGATTACTTACCAGGTATTTAGGCATGAGCCACACTTCAAAAATAATTGCCAGATGGTTGCCCTTAGTCGAAGTAGGTGAAGCGGAGCTCGAATCTGGGGCAATGGTTGCCTTAACCATAAATCTAACAGATTACTCATCAGTATTCACATCAGTGTCCCACAGCTCGTAAGTTACGCTTTGGCTAAATATGTGTTTGAAAAGTGATATTAAAAAGCAGCACCTTAATGAATAAATTTATCTTTAATCGGTTGGATTCGAAAGTGTTAACGTACAAAGAAGTTGGGAACAGAAAAAAATAATTTGCAACGGACATAAAATTTCATTTTACCATGAAAAGCATACCATGATATGATTTTTCTTCACCGGCAGAGTTGGTTACTGGAGAAGAATGGATTGGTTCACGACTAGGATCACAACGATAATTTCTTGACTGCTTTGAGGAGCCAACATATTGATGAGCTGCAATCGGTAAGGTTGATAAAGTAGCGGAATATAAGTCTTTATTTTCTGGTGTCACTGGAACATTAGAACGTCGTGATGAACTATGAGAGGACTGTTGATGAGAAATGCTTGCCGGTTGATGACTAGGGACATGAGGGTATGCTTTAGGATTTTTAGGAGAGAAAGGAGATACTGCTTCTAACCGACGAAGAATAAAGCATATATTGGACGGGTTTTCTTTAGTTCTGAAAATGTTTAAAATAAATTGACGGTAAAAAACCGCATCAATATTAATTTTATAGAAAGAAACTAACGCAAGTATAAAATGTTGACTTTGATAAATCAAATGAACTATGGATCGACAGTCATCATCGACGAATGGTCTATCACAGTTGTGTACAGGCTCAAGTTGCCACATAACATTAAGTCAGTCAGTCAGATGCAACGTTGAACTTCGTACGTAAGTACATCAGTTCATGTCGCCATACCATATCAGCACAGAGATGTAATTGTCAATTCAAATCCAATAGTAGAAGAGGTAGTAAAGGTATTAGGAGTAATCGGAGAGGTTAGGATTAGAAGATATTATTCAAGAAGTATGATTTAATGACAAAAGTTTAGAAAGTCAAAACTAGAGGGTTTGGAGAATCCAGAAGATTAGGACTTGAGAGAACACAAAGAATAAATGCACCGGCGCCATTGCGAACGATTTTGAGCCATGTCATTCGAGGTCTCTAACCATCGATTATTATCATCTCGCGGACCCCAACCAGGTAGTTGACAATTACCGACATGGCTAAGTTCACTCGTCAATGACTTCATGGATTTCTGCCATGTTTTGGTTTGGCCGCCCCCCACTTTCTTCCAACCTATTCCGACACTACAAAACAAAGCTCGACGAGGCAGTCGGTGGTCGGGCATACGCAACACATGTCCCAACCACCTCACCTGATGAAGTGTCACTACTGCGTCGATTGATCTGCCATTCTTACCTAGCACCCGATTCCTAAAAACAGCGTTGCTCACTCGGGTGTCCCACGATATACGAGCAATGATTTGGATACACCTATGATCGAAAACCAGTAACCTATGAATATCTTCTACTCTCACTGGCCATGTTTCACAGCCATAAAGTAAGACGGAGCGAACTACTGCACAGTGCGCTCGTCCTTTGATTAGAGAACGGATATCACGCCTACGCCATAAGTGACGCAGGTTGGCAAAAGCCAATCGAGCCTTCTGTATCCGAGCTGAGATTTCGTCAGTCACTAGGCCATCAGCACTGATGAGACTCCCAAGATAAGTGAAGCGGTCTACACGTTCGACTACTTCACTCCCTATCACTAGTTCAGGTGCCGATGAAACCCAGTCTTGAAGCAACATTTTGCATTTCGAGGGGGAAAACCGCATCCCGAACATGCTTGCATTGTTGCTTATGGTAGTCAGGAGACAATGCATTTTAACAGCGTCTTCACCAAGTAGGACTATGTCATCGGCATATTCTAAGTCAATTAGCGATCCACCTGGTAGAAGGTCTAATCCTGAAAATTCAGACGAGGATAAGGTTATTTCTAGGAGCATGTCTATGATAAAATTAAACAAGAATGGAGAAAGTGGACGGCCCTGGCGGACACCACTTGAAGTAAAGAATTCCGTTGACAGTTCGCCATAAGCTCTCACTCGACCAGTGGTGTTCGAGTAGAGAGCTTGTATAAGGTTAATGTACTTCTTCGGTATACGTTTCAATGACAATAACTGCCACAGAACCTCACGATCTACTGAGTCAAATGCCGCTTTTAGGTCTAGGAAAACAACTACTGTAGGACGCCTAAAGGTGTGTCTATGTTCCAAGACCTGTCTGAGTGTGAAAATGTGGTCTATACAGCCACGTCCAGGTCGAAAACCAGCCTGGTTTTCTCGAGTTTGCTCTTCACGAGCTTTCGTTAAGCGCCGAAGTTTTATTGAGGCCAATATTTTAGATACTATATTAGTTAGACTTATTCCCCTGTGATTGTCACAAGAAGACTTGTCCTTTCTTATAGATTGGGACAATCAGTGATTGAGACCAGTCGGATGGGATTACGTCCAGTTCCCAGATTCTACCTAAGATCTCAGTGAACCTAGCTGCTAAAACTGGACCACCATCCTTAAATATCTCAGGGGTCAGTCTATCAGGACCTGCAGTTCGTCCTCGCTTCAGATTTCCTAACGCTTTCTCAACGTCATTAAGACTAGGGGGACTTAGGTCTATTTGCCATTCAGGATGACTGGAGATCGTGGGTAACCGAAGAGTGGCTCGAGGCCAGTTGAACTGATCCCTAAAGTGTTCTGCCCATCGATCCAGTCACCTGGATTGAGAATGGATAATAAGACCATCCTTTTCCGAGATAGTCTCACTTACACTAGGATTCCTAATACCAGTTTCCTTGATAAGTCGGAAAAGTTGTCTACTGTTGCCGATCACCGCTGTCTTTTCCATCGCTTTTGCTTTCGCCACCCACCACTGTTCGCGGTCGTTACGTTGGCTTTTTATAAGTCTGCGCCTAGGCTGACTTCGTTCTTCATCATGTTCAGAGCCAGGTGGGATGAGTTTTCGGGCATCCATCATATCGGTGGATGCTATTGAGATCCACGTTTAATTCTAGCCTTATGGTCAACCTTACTAGCAGATATCACTGCTGTTTCCACAGCCTTTTTGATATCATTCCAACCTGCTTCCGGATGGGAATCGCTTAAATAGTCGCCTAACTGTCTTTCTAGTTGCTCCTGAAATATATTTATAGCTTTATTATCAATAAGTAAAACCCTAAGAGGCTTTCTTACGGTGTCTTTCCTACGCCCAGTAAGCTTCAAACAAATATGCGCTCGCACTAGGGCATGATCTGAATCCAAGCATGTGCCCCAGAACGAGCGGCAGTCTTCTATCGAACCTCTCCATCGGTGGCTGATGGCGATGTGGTCTAGTTGGGTCCAACGTTGAGACGACTTAGGAGGTCGCCAGGTCAACAGATGTTTTTCCTTATGCCTAAAGTTAGTGTTTGCTAAGAGACAAAATGATAGTGATAAAGGCTAAGCGTCGAGAATAGGTCTTTAAAAGCGATATAATACCTAAAGATTAAGTATAACAGTCGAGTTTTAATCGGAGAATGACTAACCTATAAGATAATTTCCTCTGATCACCTATGATATTTTATCATGTTTATTTTGTATGTAAGTATGATCTTTTATTACATAGGAAACTATTCGTCTCACTGTTGGTCTTGTCCTTGATTTCTAATCGTTCTGAGATTTAGGTCAGTAATACGGCTTTGTTAGTAGCCCGAACTCGACCACACTGTTTCATTGAGTTTATCCACCTATTAACATTCTACTTCTTATTTTCCAGTCAAATATAAGAAAACTTCCTGCATAACTGAAAGACAGAGTGGAAAGATATATAAGTCAGTCAGCTCAAAGTAGAACTTGGTACGTACATATATCAGCCCAAGTTGCCATACCGTATCAGCACAATGAGATAAAACTGTCAGTTTAAATCGCGTTTTATTAGAGGTTGTAGCAGTATTATCAGTAATCTAAAAGATCACGGATTCGAGAATTATATCTCAATGAAATAAATTTAAAAAAGAGAAAAGGTCATGAGGAAATCAGATCTGCTTGAGAACTCAATGTTAGACCTACATCGGCGATATAAGGTGGGTTCATTTGTGCTATTGTGAACAATTATGAACCATATAACCTAAACAGTTCAACTATTGATCATGATTGACCTATGGACCCCAAACGTGGATTCATGAATTCATGCTTGTTCCAGTTTCTCATCTCCAACCGACAACCTGGTGTAGCTTGAATGGTTAGCATCAGAGGTGCGAGATGATAAAGGAACGTGAGAATGGTTAGTCATGGAGATAAGAGAGTTATTAGGAGGTGTAGGAAGGATTTGATTGTGACCAATTTGGTCTCGTATGCTCCTACAGGTATGAAAGCGGATGTCACTTTCCTGCTACCCACACCGTTGGAGGCTGTCGGTTATAAAGACTTGGGGGCGTGACCGCAGAGTCTAAGGGACAACTGCTTGGGGCCGTTCAGACAAGGCGTTTTTAAAGAGTTAGCTCCGCTCTTTTTAAAAGGCCTTACCGCCAGAGACGGAAGTCCATGGGGTAAGGTGAGGTGTGACATCTTTAGTGTCGACATTTTCTAACCCCTTCCTTCCTGGTGAGATGGCAGCATCTCTCTGTATGGTACGCTACAGTATTTTTAACTCACGATCTAAAGAAAGATAAGTAAAAACAATATATGGTTGTCTTAAAACTATAAATTTCGTCTTCATTAAAAACATTCATGATAAATACCTGAATAGATTACTCTAAGAGCATATCAAAATGTTATAGGAGTTAACGAAAGCATAAATCGTTTATGTTTAAATGATATTTGAACTAAAAATAGATAAGTTTATCATACTCTTTAATGAAATTTTTAATCCTTTCCTCAGGAGATAGTGTAATTTCTTGATCCCTGTAGCTAGCAACCAGGGTATAGAATCCAGGCAAACTAGCAACCTGTGCAAGTTTGAAAATCACTTCTTCACAAGTTGTTCCATCATTAATTCCGCACACTTCTCTAACAACCCCATCAATGTTCACCTTGATGTCCATAAATACGACCCTGTATTGGTGCAGTCAAACAAACCGCCATCCACCTTCAGTGACAACAATATTAGGCCATTTGGTCTTTGAAAGAGATAACAGATATACTTTGAATGTTAAGAACAATTTATACTCGGTAAAAATTCAGGTTCTCTTACATACTGACGTAAGACAAGATGGACTTCATTCGCCCATGCTATCTAATCCAATATCTTTTTCACGAGCTAGTATAAACCACTTGATTTCATTGCCCTCGATTCTTGTTCTTTCGGTACGGTTCCAGGTGTTTGTTAGTTCCCAATGGATAGGCTTCTAGCCATTCGACTTCACTAATTCTAGTCAGCAGTTGTTTGTGAGTTTGTATGTCCCGTGATTTGAATGAAATAGTTTGTTGCAGGGCAGTAGGGTTTCTGGATACCAGCAGCTATTATGTTACCAGGACGGGAGTTAGTTAATATGTGCACAATAATAAGAAAGTTAAAATGTTATGAGAAGAATATTTCAGAACTAAGTAAATAAATAGTTAATTGGTAATGAATATTGTGCGAGAGGACTGAAGCTTAAGCAAGGGAGAGGAAACGGATATGATAAGCAAGACAGAGGAAGTGGCAATAATAACGGGAAGCGGGTCTCAAAACTCCGCCAGAAGCTAATTCCGGTCACAAGCCCGGATAAAGGAGGAAAGTTGGGCATGGGGTTGGTGACCCACCCCACAAAAAACAAACATGCTGAAAAAACACCAACCAGAAAGAATAATACAAAACATTTTAGATGTGCTTTGTGAGTTAGAATGTTTTCGTTCAGAGAAGTTATTAGATCTCATGATGAAAGCCAAGTTCCTTCGAAAGTCACGAGGCTGATGCTCCATATAAGGTATATGGGATGTTCGAACATTGTGGGAGATCTGAAGACTATTCCAAGTTGCTGCAGAAATGAAACGATACAAAATGGAAGGCTCGGAATCAGCGAAACGCATTGTACTGAAACCAGCTTTGGGAGAGTTTCTGTTATACTTCGGCCATGAAGAACAAAATGCCTCACACATCCAAGGAGTTAAACTGATGCTGTCTAAACAAGCGCAAAATGCAGTCATAGGATGGGAATCTCATGACAATTAGACAAATCAAGAACGGAGAATCAGCGGGACCAGAAAAAATTCCAGCAGTGGCCTAACATTCTCTTCAACCGTAATTGGGATGAAGAACAAGTACCAACAGACTGGAACGAACT